AAAAAAAAGTCTTCCATTCTCAATAACTAATAATGATATTACAATAGCTTATTAGTGTTAAAAAATTTCCCTTAACATGCAAATGTGTAGGTAAGTCAGAAATATATATAAAAAAATACCTTGTGTTTCAAGTATGGTTAGAAATCTTATCAATACAAAATTTTTAACCATTAAAACTTTTGCTGTTGTTTTTTGTTTAGTTCAACATCAAATTTTAAAAAATGCTAATGATATCTGTAGAAATTAAGAAGCATCAGGTGCATCATAGGTTAAATAGTTCTATTTCTAGTAACATTTTAAAAACATAAGATTCAAAACTTTACTTCTTTCTGTTGTGTTAACTTCATGTTTTCATTCTTGGACAGAAATGAACACAAGTTTATAAAAGAAAAAGAAGAATATGAAAATTAAGATATTAAATAGTTGAATTATAGTCTTCAAATAACCTTCCAAAAATAAAATAAGTCTCATCAATATTACCACACTAAAAAAATCATTTCGACTATTACAATGGTAACTCTTTAGTCAATCAAGTAAAAGTTATTATTTGTGGGTGTGTATGTACTAAAAATGTAATCACGTTATTTTTTGGATTGCAGGGTTTACAGATAAAAAAATAATAATAATATAAAAAAATTAGCAGAAATCATAATTTGTGTTAGACCACTTTGAGTCCCATTACTAATAGGAGAGGAAAAACACTTAACTATTTAGAAATAAAACTCATTGAAAAAAAAAGTAAAACAGTTGTTCTTGTGTTACAATGTCTTATTTTAAACTCATTTTATAAAAGAAAAAAAAAGAATGATGTTATTTTTATGCTAGATGCATAGATCAGAGCACAGTATCCAAAGAGCAACATAAAGTAATAACAACAAATCACTTTTTATTTTTAGCCAGTTACTTTAAGTTCTGTTGAAGCTTTTATGTATTCTTATACTCAAAAATGAAAAAGTATACAACAAAACTTTCTTTCCTCTCTTTAGGTAAATTTTTTGAAGAATTAAAAATTTGTATAGAAGAATTAGTTTAAGAGTGATTTGTTTTAGCCTCCCATTTATCTTTTTTTTTTTTTTCGGTACCATTTATCATTCAGTATTATTGAAATTAACCATTGTTATGCTACCATTTTCATGATAAACTCCTACAAAGAGTCCACCAGTGACACAGCGGTATGTCTGTGGACTTACAACGCTAGAATTCGGGTTTCGATACCCGTGGTGGGCAGAGCACAGATAACCCATTGTGTAGCTTTGTGCTTAATTACAAACAACTCCTACAAGGAATTTAAGAAATATAGCTTAAAATCTAGCCAGAAATAATTTATAGAGCTAATTTGATTTGTTTCTGATCTTTCATAGGATAATTGTCTTCTGGATATTTCTGTTGTTACCAAGCCTGAAAAAACGTCTAGAAATAAAAAGAAAAGGAAAGATAAACCATCAACAAAGACCAATTTAGGATATACACCTGAAGTGTTTGGTAGTGTTAAAGATAGAAATCATTTTCAGATCAGTAATAAAAACATAAAACAGAAGAAGATTAAAGCCCCGAGTAAAGTTTTTGGAGAGGATGTATTGAAACCAAGGTGAGTGATAAACTTTTGTCATCTTTATAATAAAGCTTAGGTAAATGTATAATATTTTCTATGTATTTAATACTGCTATTGCTATTGGTTGAAAATTGATATTAAAAGCAATGTATGGTCAATTAAGTCTAATATATATGTGTGTCTGAATATTGTTATATCTATACATTATACATAAAAAAAAAAAAATAGATTCAAGGGCCTTTCAGTTAGTTAAATAATTTTTTTTATTAGTAATTCCTCAGTATGAGAACTTTAACTGCAATTTAATAGCTATGAAAACATCTCTCAGAGACTCTGTTGCTTGTTTTATGATATTTTATGTAGTTGGCATTCCAGCTATTTTCTGATAATTTCTAATTACATTATGACCAATTCTGAGGCAATTAATATGCATAATTTGTTAACTTTTATCTACAGAAGTTTTTGCCATAAAAATTTAGTATCAAGTAATATGCATTTAGATTTTATTTTTTATTTTAATTATATTTATTTTTTCCTTCTTTTTTCAATCCAAATCAGCTAGGAGAAATTATTTGTATTATCTATGAGAATGAGTATCCTTTGTAACTTTAGCCCAGTAACTGTTCATTTTATTTTGCTGCCCCTATGTGTGTATTGTGATTTGATACAGATTCTACCGACATTATTTGTGGTTTTATGATAATAATTGAGAAAGGATTTGTGCTAATGTGGTATCCACAACCATATTCAGTAATCAAACTTCACAGGGATTAATAATAAGAAAAATAGGGTGTCAACTTTTTTGTGTTGTATTTGTGTTTTTCATATATTAAACAATATTTTTTGCACCATCTGTACACACAAGATTAGAACTTGGTGTCTGTAGAGTAATATACAGGGAAAGTGAAATGTCTAAAGTTGTGAACTAATATTTGTTTTTTCAAAGCATACTCCAAGAAAGCAAACACACCTATATAAAATGAATATTAAAACTCGTGGATTTTATGTAAAAAACATCCAGTGTAAGTTGTATCTAAGTTATTTGTTGTTGATTTTTGAACAAGACTGCTTAAGTACCAAATCAACAGGTAAATTTTATAATTAAGAATTTTTGTATTATTAAATCATTGTAGAAAACTGAACTTGTTACCTTTTAAACTTTTTTTATGCAACTTTTGTAATTGTGTGTTTGAAGAAAATTGTTTTAAAAATCATCTCATTACAACATTATCAACAGAATCTGGTTTGTTTGTAGGTATTTTAGTCAATACCGTTTTTATAGTTTTATTTTTTCTTTCTCAGCCCTTTGGAGCTACCATACAAACCTAAACCTGTTGTGACTTCTAAAGACAATAAACAGAAAAAATGGAAGTCAGAAATGAAAACAAACAAGATTCCTAGCAACATAAAACCAAGAAGTAAGTTTTTGTAGTACATCATTAGATATGAGCATTGACAGCTGTTTTTGCTTTTCATCTGTGGCTTTCACACAGAGTAGATAGTTAGGGTCTGCTAGCTGGAGGATTGAAGGATAGTAGACTACAGAATGTATGACTATGTGCCTCTCCAATCTGTAACTGAATTTATCATGAAGAAAGAGTCAAATCGTGGAAGGTGTGCAATAATAATCTTTAATGACACAGGCAACATCACAATCACAATATAAAACAATAAGGGTAAATGTATCTGTGGTGGCTGTGTTGGACTGGGGAGAGAGAGAGAAAAGAAGTGAAAAATCTCTTACAACAAATTAAAATAAAATACTCTATTAAAACTCTGAAACCAAATTAAAGTTATAATAAAAGTAAAATCTAACAAAATCTCTAAAGGCCCATAGACTTTATATTGGCAAGGGTGGAAAAAAACAAAAACAGGCCAGGTTCTCACCAGCTAGGAAGATTTTACTAAACTTTTAACCTTAGATTTGAACTTAATTTTACTTTTAATGTTGAATATAACTAACATTTGAACTAACATTTTGGTAAGACTACTTCATTTAACTTTTAAGCAGTATCAACATTTTAAATAGAAGTAATGTTCACTATTCTATAGTATAGTGTTCTGCATAAGGAAAAATCTGATAGTGGATGAGGTCTTTAGAGTTTTGCCTGATGTTTGTTTTATATTTATAGGTCAATGAATTAATCAAAATTATTTTGGATTCAAATTTACGTGTAAAATCTAGTTTTTGTTTTTATAATATTTCCTATTTTTCTTAGTCTTTGAAGTTGAATATTCTCTAAAATAACATTGTTAATCAAACAATTAAAAATTATTTCAAAGTGTATGATCTTACATATACATGTAGATTATAAATGATTATGGAATAATAATAATAATATTTAATGATTTTGAGAAATATTGATTTGAACTCATTAATTAAACAGTCAGATAAATTTATAACTTGCACATGAAATTCTGAAAGGTAGTAAAACAGTAATATTTTTACATGAACTGTGTACATTCTGGATGATATGAGTAAGCTAATCTTTTTTTCATTAAAGTAATTAAAAAGTTGGTTGATCCTAAAAATATTATATTCTGTGATATTACATGTAGCAAATTACATAAAACAACATTATGTAATTGTTCTATCATGTTATATAAGCTGTTGTAACTTGTATGATAGGTTTTGATACATATTTTACTTAAATATTACTAAATAATCATTTTAACTTACTTCGTGACCTGTTCAATCTTAAAATGCACAATAAGAAATTTTTTCTTTGTTGTATAAATTAGCTGCATAAAATCTCGATTATCCATAACCATTCTTGATGTATCATACAGTTTGGTTTAAAACAAAGTACAGGGATGAGTCTGTTATATTAAAAAATTTTAAACATGCAGATCAGCAAGTCTTATGATAACCATAGCTGATATAAAGTCTTGGTGAAAAGATATTTTTCAAAAGCTTCATTTTGACATTGTTTTATGTTTTGTAGGTAATATGATGCTTTTGGGAATTGGTATGTAACAGTCCTTTTTAGTGCAATATGTTTATACACTCAGGTCATAAAGATGTATTCAGGTTAGAGATTTAGACTTTCCAAGTTTAGTGTGTCCCTTGTACTTAATGGCATTACAAAACAAAGAATATGTAATAACTTTGGCCACCAGGACCATCCAGAAAGAGACTTACAATAAATCATACCCCAGCTGTGGTAAACAAGGTGAAGCATATTGTAACATGTGAAAATCCACAAATACAAAGGTCAATGGCAAAAGCCATCCATCCAGCCTAGGCAACAGTACTCAACATAATGGAAAAACCAATAGGGTATGGGTTCACCAAGATAAGGCTTCCTTCTGTTCAACCATTGCATACCCCAAGCAGCTGGGTAATGGAATGTGTATTTGTACTATTTCATACAAAAACATACTAGTTCAGTCACGAGATATAGCATATATGGATTTCTATGCAATTGGACTGTGGAAAAAAGCACTGGGAAACCAGCATCATCATACAGTAGAAGAATTATGGAAACTATGCAGTGAAGAGTGGTGAGCATTGGACGTGAGAGCCTTTATGATGGTGTATTTTGCAATAGAAACTATGTTGAAAGGTTATCAAGAAGCACGGTAATTAAGTAAAGCATGACTGGATGTAACAATTTGGTGAGGCTCCAAAATTGTTTTAATATAACATACTGAATCCTCTGTATATTTGTTAGATGATTATTCTGTAATAATGTATGTAATGTAAAGGACTTATTTTACTATTTTTATAGGTCAATCAATTGCAACTTTTTCTGACATGTGTAGTAAGAACCGTGGCAATGATTCCCCATCTCCTGTGTGGAATAACTCGCAAGCTTCATCTAAATATGGTAATATTAGCTTCTTCAATGATACTGCTATAATAAGATTAATCTTTAAGAATATTTATGATTTGTTTATTTCGGACAAAATATAAGTTAGCTTAGCAATCAACAGGTTATATGTTGAGATTGTTCTAGTTTCAAGGGTTCATCTAGTTATACTTTGAATGCTTTAGGTATTTATTTGTGAGAAAAACTATATTTCAGTAAGTATAATAATTAAAATGTTGTGTTTTAATTCTATCTTTCAAGAATATTGAAAACTGTGAGTGACAGTTTTAATACTCTGTGTTTGATGTTCATCATAATTTGATTTTATAAAGCAGGGTTGTCCAACTATGTGTCTGATACTAGTTATCATAGAAAAAATCCTGTCATGGTTTTCTTCAGATTTATTGGTATTAACTACCAGAATAATACAGTAACAGATAAAAAGCATTAACCCTTTCCAGACAGGTCATGGGTGAAAGGCCATGTCAATAAGCTTAGTATCAAATTGTAGATTATAATTCAAATTTTAGTACTATACATTACTCAATTTCTTAATTTTAAAGTAAATATTAAAAACACAGATAAACATTGATTTTTGTGTGTCTCGTGGTATGTTTAATGCATCACTTGTTATTAGATGTTTGTGAAGTCAAAATACTAAGTCTAT